GTTTGTGGGGTAGACCTGGTTTGACTCCTCACAAGGGTACAATGTTGGTTGGTTTGTTGTTTAACGCCGCACTCAGTAATATTCCAGCTATATGACGGCGGTCTGTAAATAATCGAGTTTGGAAAAGGCAATCCAGTGATTGATATCATGAGCATCGATCCACGCAATTAGGATCGATGACATGTATCAACCAAGTCAGCGAGCCTGACCCCCCGATCCCGTTAGTCGCCTTTTACGACAAGCATAGTCACCTTTTACGGCAAGCATGGGTTGCTGAAGACCTATTCTACCCCGGAATCTTCACGGGTCGGATACAATGTATGAAGGCTGTGAAAATGCTGAATTATTGTTAAAAGCAGTGTAAAATCATAGTCACTCACTCTCTCACTTTGGTGAAACTCATGAAAACGTGTAGTGAGCTGACAATCCTAGAAACAGTCGAGGTGAATGTGGGATTTGAACTCCAGATCATAGGTTTCTGGTTCACCTAAGGGATGCAAGTCTGCACCAAATTTTCCAGCACCTTAGACAACTGGGCCACCCAATACCCACTGAGTTGAATCCATCTGGTCCACACTTTTTGGGGTTTGGCGGTTTGGGAGGAAAACAAGTAGCACAAGGGTCTAGCTCTTGCTTTGTTTTAGGATCAAAGTCAAAGATTCCATGAGGAATAGTGTTAAGTTTTCACCTCTAAAAGACTTCAGATGCAATCAGTTTAATGTCAATCAGGATTGCATTTTCAAATGAACCTTAATGACTGCTCATTTTGCTTTTAATCCTGTGAATTTCAACTGAAGAGTGAGACTGTGTGGAATGCAATAAAACTCGAGGTGCATTCCAATTATTGAATGATTTAAAAACTCATCACAAAGCATTTCAATACCCCAGATTACTAAAACCAACTTTCCTAGCCAAGCAAAGTAGTTCCAGTGCCTCCGAACTCAATTCCATGGCAAAACATTTCCCCCTAATTCTCTTCTCTTTTTTTTCCTGAATAAAAAACATCCAACATGTCAACAATTCTCCCATGCCATTCTAAATACTGGCAATTGTAGGTTGTGTGCCAGGCTTTTAGTCATATTGGGTCCATTGACTTGGGAGGGGAGACTGACAGGCAGGCACGTAGAACAAGCATGGAGGCATTGTGATGGAGATGGTTCCTCATATTTAGCTGGGATCTCCCTTGGTGTGTAATCTGGCTAAAAGGCAGCCTGTTTCCTGGGAGGGTCATGTTGTATATCATTACTCATAGACCACTGTGTGCTGGGCGTGTAATACCTACGAGTCCGGGCACATCTGCTAGCTTGGTAATGTTAGGTGCTTAGGGAAGTAGGATCTCACTGGGATTACCATGTCTAGGAGTGGAACTGTTTGATTAGGATTAGAATGATTGTTTTGCATTTTAAAAAATGGAAACTCGGCTTTGAAATTTGAAACAGTCTGAGAATTTACATGTTTTGCACTGAAAGTCGGATAGTTTTATGGTAGTTGTTGAGTTGGAAAAGGACTCTCAAATGTTTGTACTGTTGTACTGTTTGTACTGTATGAAAATGTTTACATTACATATGCTCTTATCTAAGATGAAACTCATTTATGGCAGTGTATTCACATGTATCTCCAATTTGCAAACGTGGGTCAGGTGTTTTAGTTTTTAAAAGGTTGTTGATATCAGCAGACATATTTACAGTTAGATAATGATTTTAGTATACATCATGCATGCTGCCCGATATAGGTGACTTGAGTACACCTATGCACTGTGTGCCTACGTACCTGTGTGAAGTGTACCATATTCACTGCAATAAACCTAGCTCAAATATCGATGAAACTAAACCATTTTTGATAATTGTTACTAGGCAGTTATCTCCCCCTTTTACTCTGCTGTTTCTTTAAATAAATCTATACTATACACAAGAAAATAAGGACTGTCGTGTAAATATTTGGTCTTAGGGAGCCTCATAAAGGTTACTTACAGATTGTCTAAAAGTTAGTCAGGGGTGCTTATTGGAGCAGGGTGCTTGATACAACAAATATGCTATATGTTTTGGGTGCTTACTGGAGACAGGTGCTTTATACTGTAACTATGGTATATGTTTTGGGTGCTTACTGGAGACGGGTGCTTTATACTGTAACTATGGTATATGTTTTGGGTGCTTACTGGAGACAGGTGCTTTATACTGTAACTATGGTAAATGTTTTGGGTGCTTACTGGAGACGGGTGCTTTATACTGTAACTATGGTATATGTTAGTTGGGCACTTACTGGAGACTTTTGGCTTTTGATATGGCAAATATGGTATCTGTCCGTTGAATGATGAGACTGGTGTCTGCACCAGCTGGCCGGCCTGGTCTGACATCCTGCTGCTGTGTACATCCATCTACATACCTGTCAGGGTGCATTGTTCACGGACACGCCACTGACAGGCCACTGACAGCAGCGTAGGCACAGGTTTCCCATCTCACCCTCCCACTGACGGCTTTCATATTGTCTGCACTCTACAATTAATTTTTGTTGTTGTTGTTGACATTTTTTATTCCTTTCAAAGGGTTGTACATCAGGTTCCAAGGTTGTACAGTAGGTTTAATCAGTTGTAGTGAACATACGTTACATGGATGTACATTTCTTGTTACATTGGATGTACATAACTGAAATATACACACACACACACACACACACACACACACACACACACACACACACACACACACACACACACACACACACACACACACACACACATATATATGATATGTTTCAAGAAAAGCATGAAAAGTTGTACCGATAGTCAGATATAAGCATTTATGATAGTATTGCTATTTGAGGCGTTTCTGATCTATAGCATTATTGTACAGGGCATAATTATTATTTTAATTTGTGTAGGATTTTTCCCCATTTTCGTTCAAATTGTAATAGACCATTGTTTTTTGTGGCAATGAATTTTTCAATCATAGCTGACTCTTTTAGTATTTTCCTAAAATTATCAAAACTTCTCACCCTTGATATTTGATATATATATATATATATATATATATATATATATATATATATCTTTTACTGTACAATTAAAATTTATTCCACAATCCCTCTGAAGCTGAAGGGTAGCCACCTGGTTCTGTAACCTGAATGCTGACTACTCATATATAGGTGCACTGGTCACAGTTTCAGGGTTAGAAATTGGCACTATTGTCCTGTAGTCCTTACCAAACTGCCCAATAGTAAAGGTATCCAAAGGACTAGTAGAAATTGGCCCATTTTAAGAATTTTGCTATATGTTATCATTAAAGGACTAGTGGACAAAAACTGTTAGTTTCTAACCCTGAGTTTCATGTCTGTAGCGTTTGTGGAGAGTTAATATTTTGATGAAAACATTTATATGTCAACAGTTGAATAAACTATGCACTAGAAACACTTACTAGCCTGAATATTGACAGCATGCAAGGACCCTGAAATTCTGCTGGCCCTCTGTAGATTAACAATAGACGAACTGATTCAGACAAGCAGGTCTGGTGCCAGTTTCTATACCTATGTGTCTTAGTGTTACATATGTTATGGTTTCTGTTAGGAGGGTGCTGATACGATAAATCTGCCAGGGTTAGAAATCAGCTTTGAACCCCACTAGCCCACATATATGATCCACTATAGAGTTGCCGTTCAACTAATGGTAAAAGTGGTAATCCACATGGAAATGTTACTGGTCAATCCTGATGTTTACTTTTCAAGGACTAGCGGACTTATGTGAATATTGTACCCTTCTGTAAATACATGGTGTAAGAGCCATTGGTTTACCTTTGTAAATATAATCATAAATATGAAGATCAGATAATGGTCTGTTAAATCTAAGTCAGGAAGTCTACAATAGAATCTATTCAGAGTGACTATATAGTTCTATTGTCAAGTCAGTCCTATGTAGATGTATACACTTTCAAAGTAGAAAGTTGGATGTCTTGAAACATTTCAGGGATTTATCTAGACCTGCTCAGAGGCTGACATTTGGCCCCAAATCTGCAGCAAATGTCAATAAAAGTTCCAAATTTGGAACTAAATATTTCCAAATTCATGTTATAATTTATTAATATAAACAACTAATAACTAATTTTAAGGCTTTGTAGAAACATGTATTTGCTTATAACAAGACTAATAAATAGGAATACGTTTTAATGCTTTGTTTTATGTTATGGCATTAAATGCAGTCTCAAAATATTATTATTCCCAATTTGCCTGCCATGGGCACTGAGTTAAGAATTGTAGATAAGTACCTGCATTTGTATCATGGTATCTACTTCAATGAGACATGTAGGGGCAGTCGGGTAGCCTAGTGGTTACAGCGTTCGCTCGTCACGCCTAAGACCCGGGTTCGATTCCTGACATGGGTACAATGTGTGAAGCCCATTTCTGGTGTCCCCTCGCCGTGATGTTGCTGGAATATTGCTAAAAGCGGTGTAAAACCATACTCACTCACTCACTCAATGAGATATGTGCAGGGCTAGTAAGAACATGTAGAACTTTATGGATAACAACTTCCGGTTTGTTGCATATTGCGATGTTTTGATATTGATTCTTACACTATTATCAAGCTGGAGTGACAAGTGTTTACCTGCTGCTTATCATAACGTCATGCATATATACCTCTCATCACTTGGTTGTTGTCACTGATAATGGTGTAAGAATCTAAATCGAAACATCGCTATATGCAAAAAATCAGAAGTTGTTATCAATAAAGTTGTATGTTTTCTTACTTACTAACAAACTTCTAGAATGCCAATCAAATGTGTACAGGGCTGCTGATTGACCTGTCTCTGTGACTTGGTTGATTGCGTGTCATCATACCCTGAGGATGTGGGACATGGTTCATGATATCAATCACTAGTTTGTTTGGTCCAAACTCTAATATTTACAGACTGTCATGGAATATTGCTAAGTGCAATGTTACACTACGAACAATATGTAGTTATACCATGTGGCCTCTCCATGAAGACCACTAACAAACCTGCTCCTTGTTCCAGGAACCAGAGGTCCTAGACCTGGACCTCTCGGATGACGAGGAGCTGGCCCAGGCCTTCGACATGCACTCTCTCATCATCTCCAGCCTCCAGCCCGAGGAGTCTGACCATGTGGCTTCCGCAGAGGAGGTCATCAGCGAGATCGACAACATGATGCAGGTGAGATGTCTGTTTTGAAATAATAATTTTAAAAAGTCCATTTATAAATATAAAGCATACAATTCACCAAGCTAATACTCATGGCACTATATTATTATTAGCCCATTCAATGGATCAGTGTGCATTCAATTTTTATTCTCAGCTCCCTGGGGAGTATACACCCTACCCTAGCAGACTGTGAGGTGCTAGAAGGTTAGCATTACCATCTCATCCTACCGAGTACCCATTCACTGATGAGTGAACAGTTTTAGTAATTACTGGTTCCTGGGGTCCTTGATGTTGTCATCTATAGCACTGTGATCTCGGGATTCCTTTGATATTAAATGTTTCACATTAGTGTTATGACAAGGACCCCTTGACTTTCATGCTTATTGTTAAATAATTTTTTTAATTTAAAGTTTAGACAATATACGGCTTTTCCATTGGACGAGAGGTCGGTCACATGAAAGCGAAATTGACGTTCATAAGTGTGTGAACGACATAATTTGACATTCATACCTTTTTCACGAGATCGTGTTCTTGAAATGACGTAAACACTGACAGACTACTTCCACATTCCTGGGGAAAACCCTGGGAATTCCCTAGCATGAAAACATACATAAGTGTTCTTTCTGATCATTTAGAACCTTTATTCTTGGTCTCAGCATTTCAGTATACATTGAGAAATGTCAGAGAGCGTGACTGCATGATTGTTCATGAATATCCTCGCTGCGGCCTATCCTAATCTAAACTATCGTAGTATCAACTCAATCCGTGCCTTGGCTGACATTGACCGTCTCCAGCAATCTAAGAATTTACCTTAGTGTCTGTTTGACGCATCTTTATTCACCTTTCGGCCAGTTGATCAATGATGACCTAACACATGTAACCGCCACAGGTTCATTAACGACTTCGGAAATCTCTCCCGTCACGTTTATCGTGTCGGCCATTTTGACGTCTTGTACTTGATGTAAATGTATTACGATGCACTGTCATTGTGACTGACTTACTGAGGTAGTTCTTTACAGACCTTTCTCATCTAATGAGGATATGATTTGAACACATGTGCTGCGTAAGATATTTCTGAAGAGCAAGTTGTGCATCCATACGCCCATGTCACCTCACTTTTTGAGGAACTATTTTACTCAGCGATATAGCTGGTTGTTGTATGGCTGTCAGTGTAAACCTGAAGTCACACGTACTAAATAAAATTGTGTTTAGATCTTGGCCTACATCCTTTGAGGTAAGAAATGGTGATAAAAAAATTATAAGAATTGACTTTCACTTTGCAAGCTCCGCCATTCATACAGTTTGGCCCTCACTCTATGAAGGTTCATACTCCAATGAACTCACACAAAGTGAAGGTCAATTCTTAATTAAAATAGCCCTTATATGTTTTGGCATTATGTTCAATAAATGTCCAATCCTCATATGCAGCGGTAGAAACTAACATTTTTGGTCCACTAGTCCTTATACATGTAATGATAATATATAGCCAAAACCTTAAAAATGTCAAATTTCTACTTTCAATGATACCGTAACTACTGGGCAGTTTAGCAAGGACTATAGGACTGGTGCCAATTTCTAACCTTGCTTACGTATATTTTTGCAAGTTTACCATAACCTCCTTTAAAAGTATGTCTTTGAATGTGGACTTCTGGCCAAATGAAATATTCAGGTTTGGTTGAGTTTGGATGTGTATTGTATCATGGATTCATTACAGGGGACAGTGGTAGATCACTCGTCTAAGACATTGTATTTTGCTTGTCAGAATTGCCTCCCTTAGCTGTGCCAGGAAATGCTGGATGTGTTCAAATCCCAGATTCACCTTGATTATGATCCTTGGTCTGTAGGCGCCACGCCCACACCCGTGTGTTTCACTGAGGTGGTAAACACCTACAAGCAGTGCAGTTAGACTTGTCAACTGAAATATTGTTCAAGGCGATGTGAAGTCTATTCATTTATGTCATTAAACCTTTAATTCACAACATATTAAGACAAAAAGTATGGTCATAGCATCAAAGTGTCTGTGTGACTTGAACCACTAGTCTGAAGCTCAGTTGCAGTTAACGTCTGTGAAGATCCGGGGTAGAATAGGACTTAGCAACCCATGCTTGCCGTAAAAGGTGACTATGCTTGTCGTAAGAGGTGACTGACGGGATCGGGTGGTCAGGCTCTCTGACTTGGTAGATGCATGTCATTGTATCCCATTTGTGTAGAACAATGCTCATGATATCAATCACTGGATTGTCTAGTCCAGACTCGATTATTTACAGACCGCCGTGTTATAGCTGGAAGGTTGCTGACTGTGGCGTTAAACAACAAACAAACAAACAAAGCTTCAGTTTTGACAGCCCATTGTAAGGAGTAAGATATACCAAAACAGATGTGGAAGTCCAAGCCAGGTCAAGCAGACTCCAAAGTTTTTTCACTCAGACTGGAATAATCATACACTGGTACCCATTTCTGGTATGTCTGTAAAACATTCATGTTTGAGTAAACCTTTAGAGAAATAATCAAAGCGTTTCCATTATCCCTGTTATCTCATTCTGAGCTTACACAAATGAGAGCTGGATGAGCTCAAGGCTGCCTCGGGAGAAAATTGTCCATACCCAGTTAGGCGTACCATTGTGTAAAGTACATTCCTGTCTGGTAGACGGACTCAGCAGTGATTCCATGTCCAGTGTCTCTGATGTATTACACTGCAGACATCTCATCATTATTACATGGGAGAGGGTAAAGTGCTGTGTATCGTTCGAGATTTAGACCTGCCTATCTTGGCATCCAGTAACAAGTGGGTTGTGCATGTGATAGCTTGCAATGCATTTTTCATTCTGTATCAGTTCCTGTTGTTAATGAAGCTATTGTGATTGTGTGGTTGGTTTTATCAGCTCGGATGGGCAGCTGAAGAATTTTGTGGCTGTGAATATGGCTGGATGAATATGTAAATTGTTTTTGCTTCTAAGGTAGTTAGTTATCAGTTCTGATATGTTCATGCAATGTTAGGAGTCCCATCTACAAATGTGTACAGGTTTTAAGATTAAACTGGCATTTAATAATTCTTGGCATAAAACCTGCAAGACTAAAATCATTTTATGAATTGCCATTATTGGGGTATACCATTGCACCTAATTTGGCTGGTTGAGTAAAGGTGTCCATGTTGCAGTTTAAGGCTTGCCCATCAAAATTACAAAATATCTTTGTGATCATCAGGCCATCCCAGACAGTGTGGCCAAGTTCTTCTGTATCACTTGTAGTGACTGCACCTGTAATGATATAGATCTTATTCAAATTCCAAATTCAGTACAGCATTTCATTGCCTCCAAATTCTATTCACACTCTGCTTTATACAGGATAGTCATGATGATGGGGTAATTTAGTAGTTAAACATTTGCTTTTGATGCAAAAGACCTGGTGTAACAAGTTCAAACATCACCCTGGCCAGTTCTTCCATAGGGAAGGTTTAGAGTAGGCCATTTCGTCCCTGGAGAAGAAATGGATTAGGCCAAACCTTCCCAGGGGAGGAACTGGCCAGAGGAAGGTTTAGAGTAGGCCATTTCGTCCCTGGAGAAGAAATGGATTAGGCCAAACCTTCCCCGGGTAAGAACTGGCCAGAGGAAGGTTTAGAGTAGGCCATTCCGTCCCTGGAGAAGAAATGGATTAGGCCAAACCTTCCCCGGGGAGGAACTGGCCAGAGGAAGGTTTAGAGTAGGCCATTTCGTCTCTGGAGAAGAAATGGATTAGGCCAAACCTTCCCCGGGGAGGAACTGCCCAGAGGAAGGTTTAGAGTAGGCCATTTCGTCCCTGGAGAAGATATGGATAAGCCCAAACCTTCCGAGGGGAGGAACTGGCCAGAGGAAGGTTTTGAGTAGGCCATTTCGTCCCTGGAGAAGAAATGGATTAGCCCAAACCTTCCCCGAGGAGGAACTGGCCAGAGGAAGGTTTAGAGTAGGCCATTTCGTCCCTGGAGAAGAAATGGATTAGCCCAAACCTTCCCCAGGGAGGAACTGGCTAGAGGAAGGTTTGTCTTTTGTCTTATGTGACTGCCTCTGTGGTCTTGTGATAGAGTATCTGCCAGGAAAGCAGAAGGCCGGCGGTCTGATCCCCGGCTGCGTCATACCAAAAGACTATTAAAGATGGAACTTCTTGTTGCTCTCCGTGGTGCTCAGCATTTAAGGGGATAAAATAAAGAGTGGTCAACAGTACACTGTGTCTGAGTGGACTATTCATGTTAAAACTGTGGCATGGTATCTCAGTGAGCTAGCACGCACCATTTCACCTCACATTTCATGTGGCCAATCCAAGCCAGGTGAAATACAGAACACATCCTTGTTGGACTTTGTGCACTGAACATGCAGGAAACAGATTTAAATCAGATGTCCATCCTACGTACATCCATTCTTCAAAAGATGTAGCTAATAGTTTTCCAAAATACATCGCTATTAAAATAGATTAAATCCAAGCCAGATATGGAGGCATAACTAGCCAAGTAGATCGATTGATATTTGCTGGTTTACATTGTATGTCTTGCAAATGTACAAAACACAGCGTGTAATGTTATTGTCCTGAGAGAATGTCTGTCCCAACAGGCAAGTTTCCATTAGTGTTTTACAACAATGATGATGGCCAATCTGAATGTGGATAATTTACAGCCTACAAACCATGGCAGTGTAACATGCTGTTCACACTAGGCCTTGTCATGCCTGTACTGCTCTCCATTGTTTCTCACTTGTTACAACCAATCAATGGTGTTGGGAGCACGTACTTGCTAAATCAACATACACATTTCGTCACAAATGTCAAAAGCATTCATTGTGCTATTTGCGGGTGTTTTCCCTGACCTTTAAATGAAATATATTTGAGAAAATAGTTTGTAATTTGTAAATTTATCTTTGATCGTTCTAGGTGAAAAAGGTTTTTGTCAATAACATGATATTTTGTGAAAATGATTGTATTTATTGCTACTGTCAATAATTCAATGATGTGTTACATGAGTGAGCAGCTAAGAACCAGTCATTTAC